GCCGTGCAGGCCCAGCGGGCCCCCCAGCTCGGCCAGGCGGGGCAGCTCCCCCGGGCAGCGCGCTCCTAGCGCGGGCGACAGCGCGCTCGCCGGGCTCGGGTACATGAGCGGCGACGACGGTGCCAGGGCCTCCAGGGCCTCGTCGTCCTCCAATTCGGCCGCCTCCCCGAGCAGGGGTCTCCCGCCGCCGCGGAAGTCGGCCCACGCCTCGTAGTCGTCGCTGGCGTGCGAGGCCGGGCTGGTGGCCCACTTGGCTGCGGCAGGCACAGGCCCCGGGGCTGGCGCGCCCGGGGGACTGTCATCGGGGCTTCGCTCAGGTGCCTGCAGCTGCTTCTTCTTGCTCGCCTTGCCCTTGATGCGCAGGAACTTGGCCCCGTTGTCCATGGACACGGCCCGCCGCCGAGGGGTCTTGCCTGTCTTTCCGCCCTCGGGGTTCAGCATCCACCAGGAGCTCTTGCCAGTGCCCTCGTTCTGCACGCGGATGAAACGGGTGTGCAGCGACAGGTTGTGCCGGATGGAGTTCTGTGGCCAGACACAAGGACATGGGTGGGGGAGCGGGAAGCGAGGAGGCCATGAAAAAAGAGGAAGAAGTGATGGAAAGAGGAGGGGGAGAAAACAGAGAAAAAAGTGAGAGAAGAGGAACGAGAAGGGCCAGAAGGGGCAATGGGAGGAAACAGAAATGATGAAGGGTGAATGGGGTAAAGAGGGGGAGAACAGATGTAAGTACCAGGTTGGACAGGAATGCCCACCTTATACCCCAGAACCGCACCACTCTTCCCTCTCCCAGGCACCCCCTCCCCCGACAACGCACACCTCCCAGAGGGTGGGGCTAGAGCTTTGGGCCTGGCCTCTCCCCAGGAGGCAAGGCAGAAGCCTGAGGGCTACTCTTAAGGAACTGCAGCAAGGCCCCCTCTCCCCAGCTCAGCCAAGCCCCGCCTGGGGCTAGCCAGGCTGCCAGGGCCCCCCAGCAGATTATGTAAGGGCTCATGCCGCTGCGGCTCATTTGTCTGCCCCCTCCCTCCCCAGCCTGGCATGGCGCCAGGAGCCCGAAAACCCAGGGCTCCAGAAATCAATCTCGCGGTGACTGATTAAGCCCTGTTTAGAACTAATTGCTCTTTCGTGTGTGGGGAGAATAAATTACCTGCTTTAATTTCGTGTCTTTAAAATGCAACTGCAGGTAGAGAAGACTGTTAACCCTTTGCTGGGAGGGCCTGGCCAGGGAAAGCAGAAAAGGCTGGGGGTCCCTAAGGTGGGTAGAGACCTGAAACTCCTCTGAAATTTCCCCCAACTCTTGTGAGCTCCTGTGAACTATAGAAGCCTAGATTCCCAGCAAGGCCCTCAAAGCACATCCATCAGCCATGGGGACCTCAGACGCCACCTCTGCTCAGCGCCCACCTTCAGGCCAGCCCAGCTCTCCAGCCTGCCCTCCCTTCCTGACCACCTAAAGCAGAAGAGCTCTGCCCCCCAAAGCCCCATTCTGGTAGAAGCTTCACAAAGTCCCCACAAATCGGGGGGTGGGGGACTAAATGTAATCCCCATTTACAACAAGAAGACCAAGGCTCCGAGAGGTCAAGTGGCTTGCCCAGGGCTACACAGCCCCTTCTGCTGTCGCTCGGTACCTCCCTGGGCTCCACCTCTGCCACCCCTGCACACACTCTCTTCTAAATTTCTGCTGTGCCAGTCTCTAGCGCTCCCCATGTCACAGCCCACTTTTGCCAAGAAGGCGGGGGCGGGGGGAGCGCCACGGCTCCAACAGCCTGGTTCCCCACAGGCACCTGAAGGAGGGAGACTTACGCTGCCCTGCCCCACCTCTGGGGCCCACCACCTGGTGGCCTTGACCTCTCGCCTCACGCACTGCTGTGGAAAGAGCATGGGCTTGGCTATCAGAAGGGCTAGGCAGGATGGGCAGGATGCCTGGCTCTCTGGCTCTTTTCAGCCACCCAGCTATGTGACTTGTGGCTCTTGACTCGATCTCCGTGAGCCTCAGTTGCCTCAGTGAACGACTTGGACCAAATGGGCACCATTCAGTAACCACCTCAGAAAGCTGTTAGATCACTACCTGAGGTAATGTGTGTGGGTACGTGTTTGGTGAATGCACCGGGTGCTCCTAAACACTGGTTAAAGGCCTCACTCTGGCCAGAAGACCACACTTTGAGATCATTCAACAGACCTGCTCTGTCTCTACCTCCTTAATATCCTGTCCTGAGTATAAGTGTGCTAGGCACCAACAAGTCTGGGAAGCTGGCATTGCCTGGTCTCACTGACGAGGGAACAGAGGCCCAGAGGTATGATGTAATTTGCCCAGGGTCCCACAATGCCAGATAGCACTCCAGATCTAACCCAGTTCATGGACCTACTCCTAACCTATTTGTCCGCCCAGCCCCATAACCACTGACCAGTGAGAGCCCTCCCTCCTGCCTCCTTCCCACCCGCCTCCAGGAGGAGGGCTCCTTCCTGCTGCCCCACTCCCACTCCCAGCTCCAGGTATTGCCCTGACTCTCCGGGCACCCCGCCCCCTCCCTATCGCTGGCACTTTCTGGTCTTGGGAGGTGACAGCTCCAAGACCCCTCCCAGCGTTGCCCTGCCTGGGCTTCTCCTGGGATCCTGTGAAGAGGGGAGCTAGAGCCCCAGGGAGTGGTGCTCCCTCCAGTAGATACCCCCTTCCCACCCCTGCCCTTGCACCTGGCTCCCTAGCCCCTCCAGCACACCTGTATTCAGAGGTCTCGGCGGGGGGGGGGGGGCCATCCTCCCCAGGGGACTGTCTGGCTTCACAGAGGCTCCGCCTCCCAGCTTCTCCCCAGCTGGAGGTCAGTCAGGCAACACCTCTTTATCAGTGTCACTATGTGCCAGCCTGAGTCTGAGTGCTGGGGGGAGGGGGGAGGAGGAAGGACATCGCCAAGTGCCAGCACCCACTCAGTACCTGCTTGTTAAGCCCCAGGTGTTATAAGTACTTGATCTCACGTAGTCTATCAAACTCCATACAACTCGGGGATTGTGATCCCTAGCTCCAGATGAGGAGAGTGAGGCTCAGAGAGGTTCAGTAAGCTGCCAGTCCCACAGTGCAGATGGTAGAGCCAGGTATTGATTTCAGGTTACTCACGCCCTGAGTCTAAAGGACATCACATTCCACCACGCCGGAGAGAAATGAGTCAGGGAATTTCCAAAGAATCTCAGGAAGCCAGGACTCTAGTGCTTCTCAAACTTTCCATGTAAACTATCCCTAGAAGCAGGCAGCATGGGAAGACTGGGGGCATGTCGCAAGGTCAAAATTTCCTATTAAGTCTTGTGCTTCATTTTTAGCATTCAGGGGGATTTTTGCATTATACTTCATAATGCATCTAAGTTTTCTGAATACAAAAATGATGTTCTCGATTACCAAGAGCACCTGCTCTGGGCCTATGAAGGTTTGCACGCTTCCCCCACTCTGTTCCCTGTCTGGCCAGGTACCCCAGGGAGCCGGAGCCCCAGCCTGAAACCACTGCTGATCCGACCCAGAGAGAAGAAAGGACTTGCCCAAGGGCACCCACGACCTGGGAGCAGAGCAGGGGTTCGAGCGCAGGCCTCCTGACCCCTGGCTCAGTGCTCTTCTCACCCCACCAAGCCTCACCTGGGGCAGCCTGTCCGTCTCTCTCCGGGCCCGTTTCCCCGCCTGGGTACTGATGAGATGTGCCAACCGTACTCTGTGACCTTTTCAGTTTGACACTGCAAGTTCTTGAACTCATCCAGTCCACAGGTTTTCAAACTTTTTTAAAAAAGATTTTTATTTATTTATTTGAGAGAGAGACAGACAGAGAGAGGGAGAGAGCACGAGCAGGGGGGAGGGGCAGAGGGAGAGGGAAGAGCAGGGAGCCGGATGATGTGGGGCTTGATCCCAGCATCCTGGGATCATGACCTGAGCCAAAGGCAGACGCTTCACTGACTGAGCCACCCAGGTGTCCCCAATTTTTTTTTTTTTTTTTAAGTAGTGGAACTCTGTTCGCAAATGGAACCTAACGCAAAACGGAGTGTTACACACTCAAGCCATCAGGGAGCGGGGGCGGGGTACCTGGAGCTGGGCTGCCTCAGCACGCCTGGTACTCTCGTAGAAAACCTGGCCCCGGTGGAGGGATGGTGCAGGCCAGACGGATGGGGCCGTGGAGGTCCCGAGGGCTGCCATACCTTGCCCAGGGTCACCCGGGGAGGGAGCCCAGAGCTGGCTAAGGACAACCTAGGCCTCTGCCTGTGGAGCCAGGCTGGGCACCAGGTGTGCACAGGGCTGTGGCCCCTGAGGGAAGTCCAGGCCCTGAAGCCCAGTCTGGCTCCTCGGGGCCCAGCCACGTGGTACCAATCAGAGCTCCCAGCCAAGATCCAGTGGCAAGCGCAGATCGCAACTCCCCCACAAGGCCTCCTGGGAGGCCAGAGGCCACAGAGGAGGTGAGGGAGGCCGAGGGGGGAGCCGCCTCTGCCAGGCAGCAGTAACCAGGGTGCCCTCTTAGAGTCACCTAGCAACCCGCCACCACAGCCACGGCCCCGGCATGCCCAGGCTCCCCAGTGCCCAGAGCTGGGCCCGGCTTTGGGGGCCTCACGCCTCCCACACCTCCACACCGGCCTGGGGCAGGTTATCGGGGGGGGGGGGGGTTGGACCGCCCTGATTCGGGAGGCAGGCCATCCCAGCGCAGGGGGAAGGCACAGTGAGCTACATCCACGCCCATCCCCCTCTCCCTTGGAACCCGGGCTAGGGAGGCTGGGCAACCCCCCTCCTCGGGGCCTCACCCACCTGGGAGAGGAGGCTGGTGCAGTTGAAAGCGCATGGGCTCTGGTGTTGGATGTGGATTCCAGTTGTGGCTCCAATACCCCATGAGCAATGCAGCTCTGGGGCAGGATGCTTTGAACCTCTATTTCCTCAAACAGCTACCTGCTCCCACCCTTGCCTCCCTACAGCCTTCTACCACCCAGCAGTCAGAGTGGCCCTTTAAGTAGCTTGGATCACATCCAGTCCTGCCCAGAACCCTGAGATGCCCCCCATCTAAGAGTAAAAAACAAAGGCCTTGCCATAACCCACAAGCGCCTCCATGACCTCTCAGACTCCTCTCCTAACACAATCCCGCTCGATTCCTCTCTCCTGTTCCTTGAACCTGCTAGGTACGGTCCTGCCCTGGGGCCTCTGTCTCAGGGGTAAACTGTTCACCCAGATACCCCCATCAATCTCTCATCTCTTTCGAGTCCGCATGCAGATAGAATCTTTTGCCAAAACGAGGCCCATCCTGACCACTCTAACCCTTTGCTCCCCCTTTCTGCCATTTCTTGGCCCCCTTACCTGCTCTCAACTTTTCTAAAGCAAGGATCACTTTCTTAATTAATAGTTTGTATGCATACATTAATAAATTAATATGTTAAGTTATATATAAATATATAATTCATTTATATTCTGTATTTATTATTTATTGTCTGGTTTCCCTCACATTAGAATATAAGTTTCATGAGGGATTTTTGTCCATTTTTGACTTTACCCCATGCGTTTGATGCGTACCAGGCATTTAATA